GGTTAGTCAGTGTTGGGCTCTTGTTGAAAGTCTGTCAGTCAGTCAGTGTGTCAGTGAGCTGAGTAAAGGAGGAGCTTAATTCCAGAGGGTCCTTAAGGTCAGATTATTTTTCTCTTGAGCAGAAACGTTTCCTGATGGTTTGTGTTATTGTTCACCGGCGCACGGTAAATGTGCTTTATAGTCTTTGTGGTGTGTGCAGGTGCAGCTTTGTGGCCGAGACTCAGCGACTTGAGGCGACGCAGCAGTCGGCTTTCATTGCAGCTAATTCTCTGAAGTCGGTTTGGTGAGTCTGGGCCTTAAAGACATGAAATTTAGTCATTTGACTCGAGTCAGCACTTCTTCATTTACCTCATTTACATTTCATCTCCTGACAAAGATCATGTGATGTGACTGAAAGCTCCAGCTCCTCAAATTTGGCACAAACCTCCATTTGGACTCAAGAATGAACTGATTAGAATTGGGTGGTAAAAGGTCAAAGGTCACTGTCACCTCGTCCATCGCATTCTTGTGAAAGCAGTATCTCAAGAATACCTTGAGAGAATTTCCTCATATGTGGCACAAACATCCACTTAAACTCAACAATCAACTGATTACAGTTTGATGGTCGAAGGTCACTGTCACCTTGCGTCCATTTCATTTCATGAACATGATACCTTAATAAGGTTTTAAGGGACCTTCCTCAGATTTGGCACAAACGTTCACCTGGACTCAAAGACTCAAACTGATTAGAATGTTGTGGTCGAAGGTCAAAGGTCGACACCACACAAAACATGTTTTGTCCATAACTCCAGAATTCATACACTAATTCTGACAAAGCTTAACACTTGACTTCAACCTACTGACATGTACTTGTAATAGAGTATTTCCACAGTGTGGTATTTGTACTTTTACTCTCTGACGTTCCTTTAAAGAGTTTGTAGAACTCTAAAAATATGAAACTACTTTATAAATACTACAAACTGCTCCATCGGCCAATCAGAGCTGAGACATGAACCGAGTCAGGAAATCAAGAACTGCTGCTATAAATAAGTTCATTCACACCTCCGAGCGCTGCCTCCATCCTCGTGTCTCTGTCTCCATCTCTGTCCGTCCATGTCTCTCACTCCCAGTGTGTCCCAGCAGACCAGTTAGATTCCAGTACACTGATGTAACTGGGAGGGACGGAGCATCGGAGAGACGGGGGAATACATGATCAGGTTTACGCACCGACGGGAGTTTCACATGGAAAACATTTATTGCTGCTGATAGTGGAGGGACACACACTCACACTCACACTGATCCACCCTGTGAGGCTGACGGACGCTCAGTTGAAGCTCTGAAGGTTTGTGTTTCTTATTTTTTTCTGATTTTAGTCAGAAAATTTAAAATATCTCACTTCAAAAATCTTTTTTAATGTGTTTAAACAGTGTTTAAACATCTTTTATTTATTTATTTATTCATTTCTTTAAAGATGTTCATGTCTTTCTGCTGATCTGATGGAGTGACTGAAGTCGTTATGCTCAATAACTTCAGTCAGATGTGACTTTAACAACTCAAAGAATTAAACTAATTAAATAATTCTTAACTTTTTACAGTCTGGCGTCAGGACGAGTTCAGTCTGCAACTGTGTGTCTGAGTTATTATGGTCCCACGGATTTAATATGGATTTAATGGTACATTAAGAGGATTTAGATAGAAGAGCTCTAATGTTTCACTACATCAAACACTATGGAGAAATGCTTGCACAGCTATACTATACATATATACATATATATAGTATAGTGGTAATGTTGTGTCATTAGTATCAGTTGTATTTACTTTCCTATGATATCAAAGTACAGTTTCGAGGTTCTTAAAGGTCCAGTGTGTCAGAATTAAGAGGATCTAGTGATGTCTATCAGAGAGGATTACAGATTTTGACCAGCTGAAACTTCTCCTCATTAAAATTCCTTCAGTGTTCACTGCAGTACATTCTGCTGTCAACACTTTTAAGTATATTTTTGAATGCAGTAATTTAACTTGCAGTATTTCTGTGGTGTGGCATTGAGTAAAAGTAAGTAAAGATACTTATGTTGAGGATCTGAATACTGCGTCACCTCTGGTGTTATCGACAGCACTACAGCAGTGTTACCGTGATCTCAGTGTAATAAAGCTGTGCAAGTTCAACTGAACATTCAGCCCAGGCTCAAATACTGCTGCTTTGTCAGTGGACGCACAGATGTACCCTTCACAGCAGTGTGATCATCATCATCCTCACTGTGACCTCGTCACATGTCCACGTTTGGTCATGGACTTTCCACGTCCACATATGACGTCCAAGGTACCCTGGGTGTGTTGGTTGTTGACGTTCTGGGACGCCGTGTCAACTTCAGCCTGTTACATGCATTGTCTGTTTTCAAAATACACTTCTGTTTTCACAGGAA